TCCCCACTCCGAAGGCTTCCCTGGCCCTCTGAGAAACCCCATTCGGGGAGGTGATGGGGACTCTTGAGATACGGTTCATGGGTGGGCCACTCTTTCCTTCTAGAAGTCCTTTTCTTTTGTTTTGTTTTTTTCCCAACAACCCATACTCCAGCACCAACTGGGCAACCCACCATTCAATTCTTTTTTTTTTTTTCTTTAACGTTTTATTTTATTTTTTGAGAGACAGAGCACGAGCAGGGGAGGGGCACAGAGAAAGGGAGACACAGAATCCAACACAGGCTTGAGGCTCTGAGCTGTCAGCACAGATCCCGACACGGGGCTCGAACTCATGAACTGTGAGACCATGACCTGAGCCACCCAGGGGCCCCAACCACCATTCAATTCTGACTCTATCCGGAATTAATGCAAACCCACTGGTTAAGCACTCAGCACAAGACTGCTTCACTAGGGACACCAGCTGCAAGCAGGGTCCCCAGGCCACCCACACATCTGCCAGCTACAGATTTGGGGGTTCTTACGATCACCTTCAGTTTTGTTAATTATCCAGAACAGCACAGAACTCAGCAAAGTGTTCTGCCTACTATTAGAGTTTATTAGACAGGACAGGAAAAACAGCCAGACGGTGAGGTACCCAAGGAAGGTCTCCAAGACTCCTAAGCGCAGGAGCCTCTGTCCCTGTGGGGTCGGCATCTGCAGAAGCCACCAACTCCGAGGCTCCCCAAGCCTCCCTAGTCAGGAGTCATCCTCACTTACCTAGGCGTGACTGACTACAGCCTCGGCCTCTGGTGCCTGAGCTCAATCCCCAGATCCCTTCCCATCCCTGAAGGTCGGGGCTGGGCTGGAAGAGCCAACCCTCTAATCTCAGGTACCTTGTTAGCATAGGTGTGAAGAAAGGGGGCTCATTATAAGTAACACAAAACACCCCTTTGTTGCAGGAACTATCAAAGGTTCTAAGAACTCTGCCGGGAACAGGGACAGGGCACAGACCAAATGTATTTCATCATATCCCACACCTTTCTCCACCTGGTTTCCAGGAGACAGGGCTCTCTGGGTTCTCTGCACCAGCTGCTCCAGGCAGGATCCTCCCTACCCACCTTCCAGCACCTTCCCAGGCACCCTGCATTGGAATACCTGTGAGGATAGGAGACTCTGAGGTCCCTTGAGCACTTCCCATCCAACAGCTCTGAGAACCCACGGCTTGCCCCAGCCTGCTCCTCCCCGAGTCCTCCCCGGTTTCAATAGTCGCCAAAGGCCAAGACCTCACGGCTCTCACCCAGTCTGTGGCAAACCCGGTCAGTCCCCCTGCTACAGGGCCCCAGCCCACTCCCAAGTATGTGCCCCACACAGCAACTTCCAAAGCATGGCACAAAAAGGGGGTGAAAAGTAACTCCCCACTGTGGAGAAATCTGACAAATACTACCTCCGCCCAGTGATCAAGGTCAATACTGACTACAAAACTCATCTTGCTAGCAGGCATCCTAAACAGGATGTGATAAGGACATCACACCTGTGATCTTCCTCCCCAAAACACATAACCCCAGTCTAACCATGAAAAAATGCCAAACGTGGGACGCCTGGGTGGCTGTCAGTTAAGCGTCCGACTTCAGCTCAGGTCATGATCTCACCATCTGTGAGCTCGAGCCCCGTGTCAGGCTCTGTGCTGACAGCTTAGAGCCTGGAGCCTGCTTCCGATTCTGTGTCTCCCTCTCTCTCTGCCCCTCTCCCACTCACACTCTGTCTCTCAAAAAGAAAAAAGAAAAATTAAAAACTAAAAAAAGAAAAAGAAACAGAAAAAATGCCAAACAAATCCCAATAGCGGGGCATTCTACACTAGATCTAAACAGTCCTCAAAACTGTCACGGAAAGCCTGAGCAACGTGTCACAGCCAAGACTATAAAGAGAAATAACTACATGTAATGTGGTGTCCTGGATAAGATCCTGGGACAAAGAAAGACATCAGAGTAAAATGTGTGCAAATTAAAGAAGTAAAGGAAATGTTTCCAACAAATAGAAAAGTACGTGCAGAATAAAGATAGAGTATGTAAATCACAAAACAAAAATCAGAAGAAAGTATGGAACACAAGGAAAGGAATCCGAATACAGTATAGAACCTCAGTCGATAATAACGCTTCAAAGTTGGTTTACTAATTACGACAACGAGCCATACTCATAAAAGAAGTTAACGACGGGGAAAAGTGCTCCAGAGAAGGACTGCTGTGCCCAGCTGGGAGTGCCATTTCGGAGGGTTGGGGACTGTGCCCCACAGTCCAGTCTTGGGTCTCACAGGCTCTGGATTCCCTGTTGGTCCCGCAGCAACCCAGAGGTCTGACCCCCTCTCAGCCCCTTCCTGTGTAATACAGAACAGTGCCAACTACAGGAAACGTCGGTGGTCCCAGAACGATGCAACCACAGGACAAACTCCGCTAACTTTTAACGTTTTTATTTATTTATTTATTTTTATTTTTATTTTTTTTGGGACAGAGAGAGACAGAGTATGAACAGGGGAGGGGCAGAGAGAGAGGGAGACACAGAATCGGAAACAGGCTCCAGGCTCCGAGCCATCAGCCCAGAGCCCGACGCGGGGCTCGAACTCACGGACCGCGAGATCGTGACCTGGCTGAAGTCGGACGCTTAACCGACTGCGCCACCCAGGCGCCCCTAACTTTTAAACTGTGAACACGCCACAGAGCCGTGAAGTGGCCGACCATTTTCATTACCATCCTAAACACGGAAAACCCTGAGGGCAGGTGGTAAGATGGGAGGCTGACTGGGCACCTAGACCATTTACACTGTCAGTTCTTGCGGCCCAATGCCCTTCCCATGGCTCCAAAGTTCTAAGAAGCCAACCAGCCATCACTTAAAAATTACAAGAATCATGTTTCTTGGGAGTGCTTTTGTGAATTGTACAGTACCTTGAAATTTATTTTACTTGAATCTAAATTTTGTAGGGCAAGTCCCAATCTTACAAATAAGGAACTCAGAAAGGTTAACGTCAAAGGGGAGAGAGTCAGAAAGGGAGTGTGGGCTGCTGACATGTGAACCCCTAGGAGCCCCGCGTTAGGTGTGATCTGTGTGGACAGCTAGGGTCACAGAGCCTGGGGGTACAAAGGGGCCAGGCTGGGGCCATGCACAGCAAGGCCTGGGGCCCCTCTACACATGCCCCACACAGTCCTATACGGATATCGGTCCCACGGATGTCCCACAAGGCGGCAGACCCAGGCCGTCTCACGTGAAGAGTCCTAAACGAGGCCCAAGGGCACGACTGTCCTCGTGAGTGAATACCACGTTCCACCAAGCTTA